ATATAACCATCCTCTATGTTACTGCCAGCACTCTCTACAATTGCACCATCCAACTTCAGACTTGGGAGATTAATAGGACCTGCCCAATATAGAAAATGGATTAAGTACAACCAAACAGGAAGCCTGCCTGTGTAGAATACAACAAAGTAACCAACAGACAATATATGAGCTAATTTCACTCAACCCACAATTTTTAATCTCACAACCCTCGGGAATTGATTGACCACACATAATATCAAGTCTCACACCACTCAACCCAGAATTATAACACTCACACCATTCAATGTATAGCCTTTCCATGTACCTGCAAAAAACAGAGAAACTAGAGATACCAATAAAAGAAAACATTAGGCAACTCTCTCACTGTGGACTCAAGTAAAGGTATGAATATAGTCCCCACTATCACTCAACTCTCAATGGTATATAATAGTTCACACTCCAGCTTTTTACAACCTGCAAAAATTAGAAGATTGTTAGATAACACACAATATCTGCTCATCTTCACTCAACCCACATATACTAAACTCCCATCCCTCATATTTCTGCTGCTTCCAGCACCATGACTGTCCTTCAAGATGGAGTGAGGCAGCCTCCATTTGCTTAGAAACCAGTTATGAGTGGAATGAACTTTCAAGTTAGACAATGAAATCATTCTATATCTGATCATATACACAATTCTCTTGATAACCACTTCTTCAGGGTACATTTCATTATTAAAAATCCTATTATTCCTAGCAAGCCACAGCTGGTAAATTGTGCAAGTAAAAACAAGCTTAGAAATAATAGTGCCCATAGAATTCCCCTTAACAGCTTTAGAGATATGTTCCACCAACTCAGGCCAAAGAAGACTAGGCCAAGATTCATTAATTATAGATTTCAGCTGACTCCACACTCTATCAGAGATAGGACAGTGAAAAAATAGATGATTATGATCTTCATAAGTGTTCTGGCAAAAGACACAATTCACATGTTGGGATAAACCAAGTAGATAAAGCCTATCCCCTGTATTAAGCCTTCAGTGAATAGCCATCCAAGTAACAAAGCTAGCTTTGGGATAATACGTGAGCCCCAAACAACATGAGCCCAAGGAACTTTGGCAAAAGATTTCCTCCAAGAATTCCAAGTAGATTTGATAGAGAATTCACCATTGGGGGCAGGAGTCCACAGAACTTTATCATCATCCTGACTGGGATGTAAGGGATAGAGGAATGTTATCAATTAACTCCTTAATTTCCCAAGAGCTAACCACAGGCCACTTCCAAGAGTTTTTCTCAATAACAGCACTGACCTTAGAATCACTATGAATAGCAGAATCATAGATGATCCTCTCACCAAACTTAGACCACAAAGAACCTAAAGCGTGCCAATTATCATGCCAAAGGAAAGTATTACGCCCATTCCCAAAGATGTGTTTGATAAGAGGAAAGATAATAGGCCTAAAATTTAGTTTAGTAGTGCTTTGCTGGTGCTTCTTTGTGGGGCATTGAGTTCTGCATCTTTTTGTTAGGCTTTGTTTTGTTTGTTGTTTTCCTTGGGTAGGTTGCTTAGTTATATTTTTTGGCTGGTTCTTTTCGCTAGGGTTAGCTTCTTGTGCCTCTTTGTTTTGGGTTGGTTTGTTGTTTGCCTTAGGAATGCCTCTTGTAATCTTGTATATTTCTTTGTTTTATTTTATAACTTGTTCGATGTAATAATAACAAAGATGTACACTCCAAAGAGAGGAGAGAGCCACTTTATTGATGACAAAGAGGTAGATTCATGAGGGAGGGGAGAGAGATAGATAGGTCCCAAATTTTTTTCCCTAAATTGATAGTGAGGGAGAAATTATTCATTACTTTTGGAACAATACTCTATTTCATTTGCAGGTAACACACCACAACACATATAGGGCTCACTTCACTCAACCCACAAAGGAAGAGGCACTCAACAAAGATATATCCTGAATTCACTCAACGTACAACCAAAGAATTCCCTCGCCAAAAGGCCAGCTTGACAACCTGTAGAGAAAACAATTAGTAAAAACATATGTGCTCACTTTCACTCAGCCCACATATAGGAACTCACATCACTCAAATATCCAAGAAATACAGTAACCTAACATATCTGGCCTCACCAATCTCAACCCTCATTCTCCTTACAAGCAGTACTAGCTAGACACTGCAGAGAAAACAATTAGATAAACATATGAGAACAATGCAATATGGATAAGCATTTTGGGCTCACAACACTCAACCCTCAACCTAAATATCACATCACTCAGCCCTCAGCATCCCTGAAGAGGTACCAGCAGGACCTGCAAAGAAGCTCATTAGAGGAAATAAGGAGCTGCTCCAGCCAACAAGCACCCACAGCCTAAGGAGACCTGCAAGAGTAGTAAGTCCAAGCATATAAGATTCAGAGCGTTAGTGCCATAGCCATAAGAAAGCACCCCAGTTTCAGTACAGAGGAAGGGAGCCTCCATCTGTCCATAAACCAATCACTAGAGGCATTCTTATTAAAGTTCTTTCACAGAAAGAATTCTAAACCTTACAGGGTTGACAATTCTCCTATGAAACACCTCAACAGGAGAGCTAATAGATTGAAAAATTCTAGAGTTTCTTTCCTGCCAAATACAGTAAACAGATAGGTTATTTGTTGTAGATAGAAAGGGGGGGGGATTGTCAATAGATTTCTAGCAAAGGTTTATTAGCTGATGTGGCTTGATTGTGCTAGTCCTACTCCATAAATTTGTTATCTATTTAATTACGTTTACTAATATTAAGTAATTGTGCAAACTGTTTTGTTTCCCTAGTTTTCCCATCCTGAGAAATTTCCTTGTTATGTTGGAAAGTTTTGACTGGCTGCTTGAATTTGGGCAGTTTTATGAACCAGCGGATTCTTACAAACTTTAGATTTAAATGTTTTACTAAGTGCCAGATTTTGGAACTTAAGACTTCATTTGTACAAGTAATAGGAAAATTGATTCTGAACTTAAAGTTAGTGCCTAGAAATGAGTTTATGGTGAATTGGTGATCAGGACCCTATATCTGTCCATTTACTACTTATGTTATTGAATAATACATTATAATTACCACTGCATTTGATAAGAGAGGAAACACTTTTTTTGGCAGTGGGATATATATTTAATGAAAATTGGAATATTACACCCTTAAATTAGCATATCTTGCTTTAACTTCTCTGGACTTCGTATATAGTTGAGTGAAGAGAAAACCAAACAGAGTACGAACTGCAGTAATAGGCCATAAGTACTAAATTTTAGTCTTAGGGCATTCATTGGAATTGTCGCATGTGGCTATCAATTCTATTGGTATCGTTCATTTCTTATATGCACAGCTCCTTAAGTGCATTATTAAGTTCCTCTCTAGAATTTAATCACATTTTGTTTACCGAGTGCAGATTGTTTACCGAGGTCTATACAATGTAATTGATAATATGTTAATGTTTTTCTTGTTTATTTTTTTTGCAGATTGGTTTTTGATGACGTTTGGAAGCATACTTGCAAATCAAAATCAAGTATCGAATTTTTTTTTCCTTAACTGATACTTCTACAAATCAAGATCGAGTGTTGATGTTTTTTTATAGACTCCATGTTAGTTCATTTTGGGATTTGCTTTGATGATTTTTTTGTTATACTTAATGGATTATTATTAAGGCCAAGTTTGGGAAGACTAAATAAGTGTACTTTTTAACTTTTATTATATTATGTGTAGAAAAAGTAGAGAGGAGATGTTGATTGATGTGACCTAAAAAAGATAAAAAGATGAAATAAGTACACTTATTTTGTTTAGCCAAACTTGGCCTAAATTTGTTTGATTGATATATTTTGATTTATAATATAAATTGTATAGTGATTTTTTTTGTGGAGCGGTGTATAATAGCTAGTGGATTTCTTAGTACATTTAAAAGCCTTTTGGGATATGAACAGGGATATTTGTGAAATAATAATCTAAATTGAAATATAAAATACGGGACAAGTTTAGTGACGAATTTTTTTCGTCATTTGTACTTGTTATTATGACAAAGTGATTATTCGTCACTAATAAATTTTTTTTGTGACAATTTATTGCAACTTATATATGAAAGTTTTCATTGATTTTGTTGTTTGGTGACTAAAAATTTCGTCACGGATATATATTTTTGTCACGAAATATATTGTCACCCATGTATGACGTTTGGAGACGAAAAATTTCGTCAACTTTACATTTTACTGTGACAAAATTATTTTTTCATCAATGATCAACATGTGAAATTTATTTGTCAACTAAAGTTATAATATGGTACGGAATAATTATTTGGTGACAAAAATGATGATTTTTGGCGACAAAATATTATTTTATTGGTGACAAAAAGTTTCGTTACTGAAGTAATTTCATTGGTGACGAAATTATTTTTCGTCACGATGCTTTTTAGTGACAAACATTCAATGACGAAACCAGTGAGGAAAATATTTCCTTACAAATATCTATAGTGACGAAATTAGCTCTTTGGCGACACAAAAAATTCGTCATTCAAGACCCAATTTATTGTAGACTTATATATGGTCTACATTCCTTAATTTGGCATCTTACTATAGAATCAAGAGATGCTCTTGAATAATTCCAATTATCCTTCATCTTTTTTGTCTTTTTTTTATCCTACTTCCATCTTTTGACCACTAGAAGAAGTTTTCTCTGCATTTGTTTAAGCCACTGGGTGCTAGTTTTCTTGGTCCCATCTATCTTACAAATAGCTATTCTTTTTGCTTGTTCTAGTCTATACTTGCTGTGCTTATGTGCTGATCATCTAGTTTATGCAGGATATCTTGCTTGTGCTCGCTGTTCAAGCTCAGGAGTGCTTGTCCTTGTCAGGAGTGCTTGTCCTTGTTGAACCAGTTTCAACTGTTAACGGTGGAGATCAGCACCTAGCACCTCCTAAAACTGAACGATGTTCAAACTGTTCAGGTTCTGGAAAGGGTAGACATTTGGGATTTTGGTTTCCGTATTTGTTTAATGAATGTCAAGAACTGGTAATTGTTCTTTGCCACCACTAGTGTAAATCAGGTAATGTTACAGGCTCAACTCCTCATTCACATATAAGATGGTGGGATATGTGGTGGGTAATTCCTGGGTCGATTGAGGCTTTGTTTCAGTGGTGGGCAGGGGCTTTGGTTAAGAAAAAAGAGGTGAAGGTGTGGAAAATTGTGCCGCTAGTTTTATTTTGCCAATTTGGTAGTTAAGCAATGATATATTGTTTAACAGTGGCCATCCTAATTTTGATGATTTGGAGGACATTGTGAAGACCAGGATTGCATTTTGGGCTAAGAACAATTTACCAGGTGTGCAGTACGGAGTGCATGATTTTGTTCATAGGTCAGACATTGCTTGAGGTGAAGGGTGTTTACTGGGGCACTGTGGTGGCAGTGTTCTGGGACGCCTTGTGCTTGTTTTGCTGTCAAGTCCTGCTGTTGCTGTGTGTGTAGTCCAGTTGCTGGGTGCGTAGTCCCACTGCTGTGGTCTTGTTATGGGAAGCCCTCTGCTGGTGTTTTTGCTGTTATGAATTGCTGCTGCTGGTCCTATAGTTGCTGGTTCTCTTGTTGCTGGTGTTTGCTGTCATGTGTAGTAACAGTTTGCAGTAGTAGTGTGCTGCTGTAGCTGTGTACTTGGTGCACTTATCAGTTTGTTAGCAGTCCTGTTATAGCTTCTGTGTTGTTTGCTTGCTGGGTTGTCATGCAGTTGCTAATGTTTGCGGGGTTGAAATGCTGTCGCTGATGTTTGCTGGGTTGACACGCTGTTATAGCTGTTGTTTTGCTACCTTGGGTGCTGTTGGTGCTGCTGTCTATTGGTGCTGCTTGTTGCTACCTAGGGTGTTAAATACCGGTGCCTCTTCCTGTGGCAAGGAGTTTGATGGTGTATTGTTTGGAAGTTGCTGGAAGATTTTACGAGGGAAGGAGGTGGCAGAGTTGGATGGTTGTCCTTGCGGTGTGGTTGGTCTGTTTTTTACTGTTTTTCTTTTTGTTTCTCTGTTTTGGATTGGTTTCTCGCCAATCTGTGGGTTTAGTGCTACCATATGATTATGCTTCCTCCTTGGTGTCAACCTAGTTGGAATTGTGGAGTTTAGCTATAATGTTTTTTGCACTTCCCTTCTTTATTGATGTTTATTGTTGCTTGTATTTGCTCGCCTCATCAATAAAGTTTCCCTTTTCTTGCTGGTCAAAAAAAAAAAAACAAAAAACCTCACATAGTGAAAAGGGGAAATAAAATAAATTAAAAAAATAAATCATATTTTTTTTCTGTTACTTTTTGGAAAGTGGAAATTGCATCAATAAAATATCTAAATTAATTAACTAAACTATGCTAGGTGATATTATGTTTCGTTCTGTTTATGTGTGTGTTAGTGGTGGACATATGGAAATGTTATTTTAAAGGGACGAGAGTTTTGAAAAAAAATTCCTTTTACCTAGTTCCAAATACAATATTAGAGTGAATTTATGACATGAATGTCTGCTCGATGTAGTGAAGAGCATGGATGTAAGACTCTCTCTAGCTATAATTTGATTTAGTGTTTTCATCTAGGCTATGTTACATTTAGACACTTGGGCTATTAAAGCATGATAACATGCGTTAAATTTGATGTTATTCATTTTATTCAAATAATACCAGAGCTTTGCTTAGTACTCTCAATCGACTCCTAGTACCCTGTTTTGTTAAATTTGATGTTATTCATTTTATTCAAATAATACCAGAGCTTTGCTTAGTACTCTCAATCTACTCCTAGTACCCTGTTTTGTTGTAGTGTTGATACAATTTATGTAGTTGGTGTGTTTTACCTCTTTTGTTGTTAATCTAATTGTTCTTGTTGTTGATCTGATTGTTAATGTGAATGCCCATTTTCTTATTAACAGTTGAATCATGAAATTGTCAACTAGCAAGATGAGTGGAGAGGTATTTTATTTCTCATTTAACATAAAATTGAATTTATAACCAATTGTTGTCCCTATTATTTCTTATTTTTCCTTGTGTATTGCACAGAATTCAAAAAAAGCTGAGAAAAGAATTAGGAAGGAGCGTGAAGCTATAATTGCTACGACAATGGATGATCTTCAAGATGTAATAGGAAGTATAGTTGCATGGCCTAGTCAATTCATTTTTTTGGACTAAATATTAGAATAATTGATTTACGATTTGTAGTTATGCTTTTTGGATGTTTAAAGTCGTATTTTAGAAATTAGTAAATCTTATGATTTGGATACTTTTCTTAGTTTGTATGTTTGAGATTGTTATTAGCTTGATATGATAAAAGTTAAAGATGGAAGTTAGTATGAAGGTTGTTTGGTGTATGGATATTAGATTTTTTTGCTTACTTCATAGTTGTTGCTTTTTGCTTGGTTTGTTCACAGATTGCATTTTATAAGCTACTATTTGCATAATGTTAGGCAATGTTATATTTCTGTATATATATTATATATTAAAAATAACATTCTAAGGCATATAAAATTATGTCATGAGCAGTGTAATAATTTATGACATGTAAGAAAATGCTGTAAAAGATTATATACGATATACAAAGTACGTCATAAATATATTAAAAATGACTTAAGGCCTACAAAATTATGTTGTGAAACGTGATGATTTATGGCATGTAAGAAAATACCGTAAAATATTATACATGGCATACAAAGTATGCCATAAATATGTTAAAAATAATATTCTATAGCCTTTAACATTATGCCATGGAAAGTATGATGATTTATGACACGACAAAAATATTGTAAAAAATTATGTATGATATACAAAGTATGTTATTAATGTTTAATTTATTACTTTTTATAACTTTATCTGTATGCCGTAAACAAAACTCAACTTTCCACGGCATGTCATATAATGGCATTTGTATACATGCCGTGAAAGAGTTTTTACGGCATGCATTGCAAGTCGTGAAAAATCAATTTTATTGTAGTGGTTATCGACCAAAATTTTTTGTCGCAAAAATGCTTACGCTGATTAAAAATAATTTTTTTGCAATAAAAATTTTAGTCAGCAAAAAGTGTAACTTCCT